AGCTCTTTTCGTCTAAAATGCCAGCATACAAAGATTAGCAATTAGTATGAGGACAGGTTAGTTTGGGTTAGCTTGGATTAGCTCTTTTCGTTTAAAATGCCAACATACAAAGACAAGCACTTAGTATGAGGACGGGTTACTTTAGAATAGCACTCTTTGTCTAAAATATCAGCACACAAAAACTAGCACTTACTATGAGGACGGGTTAGCTTGGATTAGCTCTCTCGTCATACAAAGACAAGCATTTATTACAAAAGTACGAGTTACTTTGAGTTAGTTTGGATAAGATCATTTCGTCGAAAATACCAACATACAGAGACAAGCACTCGTTACGATCCATTTGGCAACGGTGTCTCGAGCTCGCCGTATTCCTACGACTAGACTCTTGTAATGCTACCAGTGTGTATCTCAGAAATTCAGAAATATTAGGTGTTGCTGGGGTGATTGAAGCAGTTTGAGGCAGATAGCAACGCAAGCAGGAACATTTTGGAGCGATCCTGCTTCCAATGTGTTGCCAAGTCAAGGGTGAAGTTACCAACCATAATGGAAATCCCTATATCTCGAAAAAAGTAAGTGTTGCCGGGGTGTGATTTAAAGCAGGATGAGGCAGGACCATAGCAACACACGCAGGAACATGTTTGAGCGATACTGCTTAGTGTGTTGCCAAGGGTGAAATTAGCAACCAAAATAAAAATCGCTGTATCTCAGAAATAGTACGTGTTGCCGGGGTCAGATTTGAAGCAGGATGAGGCAGGACCATAGCAGCACAAGCAGGAACCTGTTTCAGCGATCCTGCTTCCAATGTGTTGCCAAGGGTGAAGTTAGCAACCAAAATGGCAATCGATATATTCCGAAAACGATGGGTGTTGCTGGGTTTCAGTGTGAAGCAGGACAAAGCAGTAATATAGCAGCACAAGCAGAGATGCATTATAAGGATCCTGCTTCCAATGTGTTGCTAACTTCCCCGACGTATTACTAGAAGGTAGACAAACGGGAAACGACTCCAGACAAACACCAACACCAACAAATCGAGTAGAATGTTACCGGTGTCATAAGCTTGGACATATGCAAAGGGCTTGTAGAGTAAGGATGTTCTCTCCATAGTCTCCATCTAGGGATCGTTCCCAACGCTTTTCAAGATCTAGAGACGCCAGCCTTAATAACAGACAGGAACCAACCAGTACAGAGCAGACGCTGGCTAATAACGAAGCCCCCAGGGCTGTTTACATAAAATAATGCGGTTCGAGGGCTCAGCGTACAGCACTCCTGGAGACATTGCGAATGCTTTTGCACAGTTCTTTAAATCTGTTTTCCAGGTCTCAGATATTCCTGGCAGCTACAAGGCAGCCACGGATGCATCTCTATTCAGTCTACCTCCAGTAACTGAGTTTGATGTTCTTGATGCGATTAAAAAACTAAAACCTAAAAAGTCAACAGGCCCAGACAACATACCTGCCTATATATACAAGGGTCTTGCCGATTTTATGATGAAACCTCTGGCACATATTTTCAATCTTTCCATCACAAGTACACAATTTCCTGAATCATTTAAAACAGCTCTGGTTACACCCATTCATAAAAACGGTAATGTGAATGAAATCAGCAATTACAGACCAATAAGCTTAATCAACGTAATAGCAAAGATATTTGAACAAATCCTATGTACCAAATTAACAAGCGCTCTAAAGCCAAAAATTTCTAAATTTCAGCATGGTTTTGTGACTAATAAAACTACTGTTTCAAACCTTTGTGTGCTATCTGAACGTGCTTCTGAGGCAATAAAAAACAATTAGACGTCATCTATACCGACTGTGAGAAAGCCTTTGACAAGGTCGATCATGGGCTGCTTCTGGATCGACTAGTTTCTATGGGAATATCATACTCCACCTTTATGTTCCTGAAGTCATATCTGCTGAATTGGGCTCTGATGGTAAAGATAGGCAAGACTACCTCAAGCAAGTACGTGGCCACCTCAGGAGTGCCTCAGGGTAGCACCTTAGGCCCACTGTTGTTTGCTTTGTTCATTAACCCCCTCCCTGGCTGCCTTACTGAGTCATCAGGACTGCTTTTTGCGGATGATTTCAAATTTTTCAAGGAAATATCTTCACCTCAGGATTGCTTCTTGCTCCAGGGGGATGTGGATGATGTCAATTGTTGGTTTAGGGAGAACAAAATGTCATTAAATGTGAAAAAGTGCTCAGTCATGACTTTCTCACGAAAAAACAACATTATTGGGTATGACTATACTATTAATGGGGTCAATTTAGAACGAAAGAGTGAAATCAAAGATTTGGGAGTTGTCTTTCGGAGCGATGTGAGATTCAATTCCCATTTTATTGGAATGGTCAATAGGGCTTATAAATCTTTGGGATTCATTATCAGAAATGGAAAGTCCTTTGAGTTGGGAACGATTGTTAGACTTTATCATGCTCTAGTGAGACCACATCTAGAATATGCTGCCCAGGTTTGGATGCCCACAGCCCACACGCATGTGGACCATATAGAAAAAGTTCAAAAGAGGTTCTTGAGATACCTTTACGTCAGGAAAAATAACATATATCCTTGTATGGTTTCATATAGAAGCATGCTTGAGGGCTTTGGGTTTCAGAGTTTGCAGGATAGACGAGATAAACAGGCTGTGATATTTGTATTCTACCTTCTGAATTATATAAAGTATAAAGACTGTGATTTAACTAAATATATACACATTAACGTTCCTAAAATTAATTTAAGAAACTTAAACTACGAGCTTTTTAGTGTAGATCTAGTCAGTACATCACCCATAAATACAATGTTATTAATATGCAATAGAGTACTCGCCCGAGTCAACATAGATATATTTTTCACAAGTATCAGAGAATTACAGATGATATAAGTAAATCCTAGTGCTGTGAATGTCTGTTTGTTTAGTTTAATTTTGGTCTAGTATAGTATAGTTTTTTTTTTTTTTTCCTTGTTAAGTTGTTTTTAACCATTACCTATAATTACCTCATCGGTGTTTGTAATGTGAACCATAAATAAATAAATAAATAAATAAATAATTGGGAAGCATGGGCACTGGCAGCAGGGTCAGAAATACATTGAAAAAATTATTTTTTATTTTATCAATAATTTTTTTTAAACAAGTTACTGTTTGAAAAAATTGGTGAAACGAGAAACGATGGCCCCCGCACTCTTTGTTCCCCGCGACTGTCTTCGAGTCACTTTTATTTTTATTTCGCGCGCCATCAACCTGTAGAATGGCAGGAATTTCAAATTTACTTAATTTCTAGATTGATATAAATTTCTCTAATTTCTAATTTCTACGATTTGATAGCCCGAAAAAAGTATTAAATTGCGAGAAGCCCATGCCACTTTCCAACGAGGTAAAAACATCATATAACTTACCCAATCACTTAGAAAAATTATTTTTTGAAAGTTCAAAATAACCGTTTTTGGGCGTGGCACCCGGAAAAAAATTTTGCGTGCGCCTGCGTTGGGCATTCACCTTCTTGAATAAGTAATTTTCTTGGTTCAAACAAAACAATCTTCCCTGAAACTAATCCTGATGGCGCCCATGTTGGGCAGTCATTATAGAGGATTAAAAATCGAAGGACAAATTAATGGAGAATTTAAAACCATCACTTTTGATACGAGCGCTGAAGTTTCTATAATTAGAAGAACATTAGTCAAGACTCTGGCAATCCAACCGCTCACTAGAAACCTGTCACTACGAACAGTCACGAGCGAATCAGCACCATTCCAAGGAGAAGCTATGGTTGATTTTACTTTTGGATCTACCACCTTTAGGAGCAGAACACTAGTCGCCGATATGCCCGAAATAGAAGATGATTTTATTTTGGGAATGGATTTGATTGGCCAACATGGTTTCACTTTCGATCCTTCTATGAACATCCTCAAATTTGGTAATGAAGAATTTGTCCTAACTACACAAGAAGAATCCCAAGTCGTTAAGATCGTGGCCACAAACCAAGTGAGGATTCCTGGAAGTACTCAGAAGATAATTTGCGGAAAATTGGAAACAAACTCTGGGTGCTGCGTTGGACTAACACATTATTTTATTGGAGATAAACCAGAAAGATTTCTCCTTAAAAAGACTCTAGTAAGAACAAATGGAGACATTATGATAAGTGTTGCCAATGTTCCTCCTGAAACAGTAAAAATAAAGGAAGGAAATATTATTGGAACTCTCGAACCAGTTAAGCAAATTTTAATATCGATCTGTGACCTACCAGATAAGCGACATTTTGTGGAACCGAAATTGAATACAGACATATTGATGCAGACTTTGAAGAAATCAAGGACAACGCCTTTACATCCATAGTCTGATGGCATGGTAAAACGATTTAATAGGACCATAGAGGAATACCTGATAAAAGTAGTCGCAAAGAACCAGCGAGATTGGGAAAAACACTTGCCTCTATTTTTAATGGCTTACAGAGCAGCTGTTCACGAGTCAACAGGTCAAAGCCCAGCTGCTAGAATCGATTTTGGAAGGGAACTCAGGTTATCATGATTTTGCTCGAGAGCATATTCAGAAGATGGCCAATGACCGAATGAAGACCAGATTACCAAATACGACTAGAAAGCCAATTCAGCCGGATCTCAAGAAGGTGTGGCTGTATAATCCAACAAGAAAGGAGTGACGCCGAATTAGAGAAATTCTGAAAGTTAGACACACAGAGATGGTTGGAAATCAGGAATGAGAAAAGGCCTTTACATGTTGTATTTCATGTGCTACAATACCTTTTTGAAAGTAATCGAGTTCTTCAGTTTACCAAACATGCCCTTCATGGCTTTCAACTGCTCCTTGTTGGCGAGATCGGGGTTATTGAAAATGAAAATTTGGAGCTTTTAATAACTGACTTCTAGAGGCAGAAGTTGATGTCTGCTGTGTAGAATGTTACATTTCATCTCAGACTAGGAATCATTAGCAGAAGGACATTCAACTCTTAAATAAACGTTACAACACCATTTATCGCCAGTTTCATGTAGCTCTTCCTCAACTGGTTTCTGTTATGTTACATTACTCCCATATTTTCATAGTTGTATGATTTCACATTTTTCTTACCAGCCGTCATAACTCAAATCCTAAAAACATTCTATGCGAAAAACTTTTCAGCAAAGTACCTATTTTAAAATATTTGTTACTTTAAATTATTGCAGTTGAACATCTAATGGTATTGATTCATGATATGTCAGCTAGTATAAGGAAATATCCTCAAAGTGTCTATGATGCAATTCAAGATTATTTTGTTCGTAAAGAAGATGAAATCTTTTCGTATGTGCCTTATTCTATTTGGACAGGATTAGCTTTTCAGGTAATGCATATCAGTTTATTTCTTGGTTTAAATAGTAATTTATTATTTTTAGGTGTTTATTTTTCAAAAAACTTTTATATGGACATTTGTCGATGTTTTTATAATAGTTATCAGTGTCTGTTTCCACTACAGATTGCAACAAATTTCAAAGAAACTAATTTTTATGACAAAAGCAGAAGTACCTTGTAGAAAATTTTATTGTAACTTTTATCTCAAGATAATAATTTCAGGTATCAGACGAAAATCTTTGGCGTGTCATCAGAGAAGACTATGCAAAACTATGCAGACTTTGCGCTCTAATAAACACACAGCTTTCCTGGTTTATTATAACATCATTTTTTACAAACCTCTACCATATCTTAACACAATTATTTACGAGTTTACGCCCTATTGAAGACACTTTTCATAAAGTCTATTTTTATGTGTCTTTTTTCCTTTTAATTCTCCGTGTCACAACTGTTTGTATTTTTGGTGGAGCTGTTTACGACGAACACGAACAAATCACTGGGATTTTAACTACTGTACCATCACCATGCTACAATATTGAAGTAGAAAGATTTGTTATGCATTTGTCTACAAGTGAAATGGCATTGAGCGGCAAAGGATTTTTCAAAATCACAAGGAACCTTATATTAAAAGTAAGTTTATTTTATAAAAAGTATGCGATTTTATTTTCTTTATCAAAATTTCAGGTTATGAGCGCCATTGTAACTTACGAATTAGTTTTAATTCAATTTAATCAACAAGAGTTTAAAACCAAGGATTTGTAACCTATTTTGTGCTCAATGAACGAAAAAGGAGAAAAAATATTTCAAATTTATATAAAAATTTAACTTATGCTACATGCTACTAAAAGTATCAATAATCTATAAAATATAATATGTCACGTCTGTCCAAAACGAACTGTATATTTTTAAAATCTGTCCAACAAGCCTGCGGATTAGTAAAACAACCTACCCATCTGGAGGTTCGTTACTACTGGTCAATTTTCAGCCTGATTTACACCTTAGAGTAATGGGTGGTCATACATTTTAAAATAATTGGCATAACTCAGAATATAAATTTTCAGTTCTGTGGAGTATGTAAATCAAATCAAATCAAATTGTATTTATGTGAATTACATAATATAGTGTTTACACATGTCAGACAAAAAATAATATAAAGTACTTAGTGATAACATCAGTAGACTAACAATTGAGATTTGTCACAATAGTAACATTAGCCAATAGGGCTTGCTAAAAGGATTAAAAACTGCTAAAATAATTGAACATGACATAACTATTACAAGTGAACATCAAACAAACTCTACAACACTATCTGAATATGTATAAGAAAACAATAAGCACAAAAAATAGTTAAAAAAAAAAATTAATTATTAAAATTGTTGTATGGCATTTTTAAACGTGTCCAGTTGCAATGTTCACCCTGGAGTTATACTTAACCTGGGGGTGACTTGCTATTAAAAAACCGGCGCATAATAGAGCAGGACTTGTGAAGGTTGGGAGTGGTGCGATGCTAAATGTCTTGTGTTTAATTTTGAAAGCCAAACATTCTTTAATTCAAGTGCTCCCTTGTTGGCATCGCACTCTGCAAGCATAGTCTGGAAGAGACAGATGCAAGATATGCAGAAAACTGTTGGAGATACATCTGCTTATAATAATAGAAATAATAAAAAATTCGATACAAAAGTTTTAAAATATTTTTGTTAATTTGTAGTTATTGATTCTGTAAATTAATGTCGAGCTTTTTTTGAATTGAATTGAATTAAACCAACTTCGCCATATTTACTCCGTAGGTTCGTTGGACAAAGTTAACTTAGCTATTATAGGAAGATAATCAAAATATGACATTTAAAAACAAATTATTTGTAAGCAATATTTCTGGATTTATGTGACACATAGTTTGAAGCAGTTCAATAAGTATCAAGCTCACTTAAAAGTACAACAAAAAGCAATAAAAATACCCAATTTCTTATGGATCATCGACAGCTGGCAACCAAAAAGCCATATTTGTACAGGCAGAAGCCAACATCATATATTTAGGATTAAATTGGACACATTGCACTGGTCCAGGATGATCTGCATTCAAAACGCAAACTTTATAACCAGTGTCCGCGTTCCAAACGTGGACACGACCATCTGTGGAACCACTGAAGATAAATTGAGAGTCTGGACTGAAGCATGCTTCTATTGGTATGCCTGTGAAAATGTTTGGTTTAAATAAATAAAAAAATAATGAAGAAACAGCCGTACCTTTATTGTTGAGGTGACCTGCGAAGGTTTGTAAAGGAGTACCATTAAAGGCATCAATAAGCCTTATAAGTGAACCATTTGTACTAATCAAAATGGTTTTTCCGTCTCTGGAAAACTTCAAACCAGTCCAATCGCATTCCTTTTCAAGGGTTAGTTTAAAAGTTATAAATGGTCCTTTGTCAAATGACCTCAAATCATATAACTTCACGCATTCTGAGTTGACGCCTGCGGCAAAAATTAATCCTTCGGGATCATAAGCGGCTACAGGTCTTCCAGATAAATGCATAAGACCTTGACAGTTGGGCGAACGCATGTCCCATAATCGAAGTGTCTTGTCCAAAGATCCAGATAGAAATGTGTCTTCCACTGGAGAAATGTTGAGGGATACGACTTTTTTCGTGTGACCAGGGAAATAGCTAGAAAAAATAAAAATGTGTTTTATTAGGTTTTGCAGAAAATTTTAGTAGTTTTAGGCTGCTCCGAAACAACAGAAATCCAAGAGAGTTTTTTACTTTGGAATGTAGGTAAATGTGTAGTGAAAAGAAAATCAAACTGCAAGACTCTATTAAGCGCGATGAAGGTTGAAAAGTTAACAATAAAAATTAGATAAATCGAAATATGTAATTACTTATCCAGACATATAAAACAAGAATGCGCAGAAGTAGGAACTAGTTTCAGAAATAAAATATAATTGAGTAACCTTAGGTTACCAGTCCTTTTGCAAACCTTCAAGGGTAGCTCACTTGAAATAAATTTTTGTTGTTGCCTTGGTTGTGGCCATTTTTTTTTTTTTTGAGGTACAGGGTGATTTGTGAAAGATTGATGATTTTAGACAATTTAAAATAATAGGTGAACAGAGACAGAAAATGCTCTTTTACACTTACAAATAATGCCTCGAGAAGATAGGTACTAAGGAGGTCTTGGGGGAGTTTGAGTTTGAAATATACATTGGACTGAGTAGTAATTGTCTGATATCAAGAACATTTTTTAAATTTCTAATGGCAAAGTACGCCATATTTTAGTTTGGCTATTTCAAGCAATTTTAAAATTTCAATTAATCAAGAGTCTGGGGATAATATCAAGTTTTACAGAAAACATCGTTTAACAAGAGTAACTTCTAAAAGAGTTCTTGGGGGGAAACTTAAGATTTCAAGACGATAGGGACTGGACTGGTGGGTTCTCATTTTTTTAGGCATTAACATTTACGAGTAAAATAAAGTTTTAAACAAATCTGGTACTATGAAACAGTTTTTGACAATTTGCTGATTATGCTCCTATGAATAGCCAGGATCGCTTCTATGACTCGATTTCCTCAATTATGGGTGTGACTGGATGATAGAATTTATATAGGTATCTTAAGGAAAATTAAACAAACCAAACAACTTGTTTCCAAAAAGGATTATTTTGACGACGAAAAACTACCGAGAAAACTACTTAGTTATTCTTTTTTTGATTGGGGTGTGAATCGAGGTGTTAATAGCAATTTGCTTGGCTGAATCAAGATCACACAATGCTGTGACAAAACTTTTATCAGCTATACAATTTTTTTTTATCTGATCACTGATCACTTCATGTCAATATAGTGTCTTTAATAAAAGCCTGGATAAAAAAGGGACGAGATTACTTGCCACCATGTATGTGAATGCCATGCAAGAAAGAAGTCCTAACAAGCAAACTCGCAAGCGAACAATCCCAGTAAGTATTGACTAGCCAACTTAGTGCTACGTGCTACTGTTTTAACCATATTCTCCACAAGATTTGCCATAAATACATTGAGGTTCAGACAGGGGTTCAGAACGTCTAGCAGCTAAATTGTAAATAAGTAGCTAGTAAGATAGCTCTTGCATTCCTTGCTACAGGGTAAACAGTTTTTTTTTGTGTTTTTTTCTATTATATACCTACCTATTCAATTAATTCTAATAATTAAAATATCCACTATTCTTCGAAGAAACTTGATTTTTTTTTTTGTTAAGTTGGTTTAGGTATAGTATTCTATAATAAAGAAGGAATTTATTTTATATTTACTACGTTTTCATGGAGTTTTCAAATCGTTTTGAATCCAATCCTCTTCTCCGTTTTCATGCAGAGGTAAAATTAGAATTGAAATCGAATTGCATGTTTCTGAATTTAAATCTCGATACGATCCCAAAAAAAGGTGGAACGACCTTGAGACTGAAATCGATTTCAGTACCTGTTTTCAATACCAAAACCATTTTCAAAACGATTTCAAAACTCCATGAAAACGTAGTAAATATTAAAATAATTTTGCAGTCAAAATCTAGGAAAATACAAGGGTATAGGACCGAGGGTAGGATTACTAGGATCTAACAGTTTTTAATAAGTTAAAGATTTTATGCTTCTAAACATTACCAAACAAAATTCTAATTCCTACCGAATGTATTTGTTATCATGTAACGACAAATAACGAATAGTATCGTCCAGCTTTGTAGAACTGTGAATGGCTGTGTTTTTGGCGTGTGTGAAGTGAATCAGGTCTACTCCGTATTTCTTGCTGTTCACCGTCCTAACTTGGGTCCCTTTTTCACAGTCGTAAATTACAATTTGATCGTCCTCACTGCACGATATCAGCATTTCTCCGTTGGTAGAAAAGTCGATGCTGTTTATTTTGTCAGTGTTTTCTCTAAAAACTTTAGCCACCCGAAAGCTTCGCACTACTGGGTCCACCAACTTCATTTTCATAGCCTTGTGGACCGGTGTTTGGATTTTTACGTTATTTGAAATTAATTATAGTTATTTTAATTAAAAATTGATGCTTCTTCTTGGAAAATAATGCAATAATTTAATTTTCTCATCATGCTTTTCAATTTTCGATAAATACCACCATCAACAAAAATAAAACCAACCTACAAAACAATCCGAAATTTGGCATATGATTGATTACGACGTACACGACGTTTGTTTGACGTTAATGACATAGCCTATGTTCCGATATCAACTGTCAGTACTGAATTTACTGGACGACGTTCCGATATCATTTTCAGTACACTGGAGTCAATCGATTCAGTACTGAATGACCACAAGAGTACGCTGTTGAAATCGGAACGGCAAATAAAATTAAAATCAGCACAGTAAATCCAGTACTGGCAGTTGATATCGGAACATAGCCAGAAATGACCGAACCAATGAACTATAGTCAAAGACTGGAATGCGCACACAATATAGTTGTATTCCTTTCAAGAGCTTGAAACACTCGAGGTACTCGCTTCGGTGCTTAGTCGCCCCCGATTTGCAGGGAACATATGCGTGGTGCAACAAACACTTTTCGAAAGGAATAAGCGCGTGAAGCCCCGGAGCTGTTCCGGAGCTCCTCCTAGGTGTGAAAGGAATACAACTAATGCCATATCTGCCAAAAAAATGTAGCCATGAAAGACAGATGCCACAGAGGGGAATGTTGTTTTTTTCTGTTGCTCGCTGACATATTATGTTTTGGAAAGTTTTGTCATAATTACCTTCACAGGTTTCATCAATTGGAATACGTGTTAGAAGCAATTTCCGCCATTTAACATAATGAGTGCGACAAAAATAGGTATCCCCTCCGCAGCAGCGGCACTAGGCTTCACGATCGTCAATATGTGTTCGCATTCCAGTTTTTGGTTATAGTTCATTACGCACTACTACTACAGGATGGCTTATCCTCATAAGGCCTGTGTGTAACAAATCCCCCCCTACCCCCCTAAACCAAACAACCAGTTGTGACGTAGGCAGCATGGCGTTTCTCGCCTTGACGTAGCCTGTTTAAACAGCTGACGACTTAGTTATGACGTCGGCAATGGTTGAAAACAGTTGAAAATCAATATGGCGGCGATTACCAAAAACGAGGCCGATAAGCACTCCTTAGAGTGTGTATTCTCCTTGCTTATCAACCTCGTTTTTGGTAATCGCCGCCATATTGGTTTTCAACTGTTTTCAACCATTGCCGACGTCATAACGAAGTCGTCAGCTGTTTAAACAGCCTACGTCACTTCGAGAAACGCCATGCTGCTTACGTCACAACTGGTTGTTTGGCTAGGAGGGGTAGGGGCGGATTTGTTACACACAGGCCTTATGAGGATAGGCCATCCTGTAGTAGTAGTGTGTATCATCCTTGTGTGTTGCCAACATACTTAATTTTTGACTTGGGTAATGATCTTAAAAAAAAAAAAACAGACTTTACACTGAGTGGATTCAGTCCATTCAGTACCGAATGACCACATCAGTAGTAGTTGGGGAGCTGGCGTCAAAAACATGCAAGAGTTTTCGCAAGGCGGATATTTTCAAAATAGGTCGTACTTTAGTGCTAGAATGCTAGTGCACAGTCAGCACTCACAGTTCCGGGACAGCTGGCTCTGGGACGCGGGCAAAGTTGTAATTTTAAGAAGCATCTAAACTGTTTTCTCAAAGCTCAAAATTTATAGAAATTTTGCACATTATCTGTTTGAAGGTTACAGATAACGTATGTAAATCGTCAGACGTCTAGTTCGTTGCAAAAAGGGGGTCAGACGTCCTCAAAGTTTTTATTTTATGGCATTTTCTTCGGTGTCCTGTCAAAATATATTTTTGCAGGTATTTGACAAATATATTTGAAGAAAATGCCATAAAATAGAAACTTTGAGGACGTCTGACCCCCTTTTTGCAACGAACTAGACGTCTGACGATTTACATACGTTATCTGTGACCTTCAAACAGATAATGAGCAAAATTTCTATAAATTTTGAGCTTTGAGAAAACAGTTTAGATGCTTCTTAAAATTACAACTTTGCCCGCGTCCCAGAGCCAGCTGTCCCGGAACTGTGAGTGCTGACTGTGCACTAGCATTCTAGCACTAAAGTACGACCTATTTTGAAAATATCCGCCTTGCGAAAACTCTTGCATGTTTTTGACGCCAGCTCCCCAACTATAGGCTGTTGAGAACGGAACAGCAAATGACAGTAAAATCAGCACAGTATTAAATCCAATACTGGCATTTGTTATCGGAACTCGGAACATAGCCAATATCTTCTTGAGGGTTTTATTTGTACCTGCGCTATATACCCTATGCAATTTTCGATTTAAGCAACTCAACTAAACATTGACTAAACCAATTTCAGGCAACGCGATTAAAGGACATTTGCACCGATCTTGATTTAACTCAGAGTTAAATTTGAATACAGAGCCGCTTTCCGGTGCAGAGTACGAAGCTCCTAGAACACTTCACACCTCTGTTACACTCCACTCCACTCGAACGCTCGAAACCGTATCGCCCGGAGCATAACGCAACCCCAATGAACTAACCAAGAACTATGGTTCATTGAAACCAAGGATAATACGCACCACTAAGGATTACTTATCGGCCTCGTTTTTGATAATCGCGGCAATATTGGTGTATCACCATTGCCGACGTCATTAACTAAGTCGTCTCTTGTGATATTATACATGAAAATACATTAGATGTACAAAGTTCATTTTTTGGGGTTCTTGCAGAAAAAAACACAACACACAAAACAAAAACACAACAAAACAACGAAAAAACCGTCAAAATCCGCCATTTCGGGTATTTCTCCTTTATTTACTTTTTTAGACAAGGACAGAACATAATATAACTAGCTCCTAGTTCCAGAGGTAGGCTAAAAATGGTTGACCGTTGAACCAGATAAAAACAGCTGATTTAATACGTCACAAAGGGCTAAATAATGACGTCACTACGGAAGAATCAAAAATAACCATCGCGTTTAATCGGCTATAACCTGTGATGCAAACAGCCCAAGGATAATACACACTACTACTACGGGATAGCCTATCCTTATAAAACCTGTGTAGAACAAATTTGAAGGCCCCCACCAGGCTAAATCACCAGTTGTGACGTAGCAACATGTCATTTCTCGCCTTCTTAGGTTGTTTGCAGCGAAGGTTATGATTTCGTGTGCTTTTGCTCTATGCATAGGTACTTGCTTTTACTACATTAATAGTACATAAATTAATATTCTAAAACAACTCTTTTTAGATCTCGTTTGCATCTTCCTCTTTGCTTATTACGTTAATCAAACTTAAATGATATTTTTCATCATGAATTTAAATTCTAATCTGGGACCGCTGTCGCAAACAGCGGACGATTTAGTTATGGACGTTGGCAAGGGTGATAGACCAATATTGCCGTGATTATCAAAAACGAAACCGATAAGCAATCCTAGTAGTCGGTACTATCTATCCTTGCAAACAGCCTACGTCAATCAAGCCCGTTCAGACGAGAAACGACATGCTTCTTACGTCACAACTGGTGATGTGGCGCGGTGAGGGGCTTCATTCAGATTTGTTCTACAATCTACACAGCCCTTATGAGGATAGCCTATTCTGTTGTAGTAGGTGTATTATCTTTGCATTGAAGCAACCATAAAATGGTTGGTGCTTCAGGGGTAAGTGGCAAGGAAATGAGAGCAGCTCGAGAGCGCCAAACTCTGTTCACCCGAAAGTAACTCGGGAACGCTCAAAGGGTGGCACCCGAAAGAGACCCTGGCGCAGCGAATTTCAATAGTTGTGGCTCCGGTTTAAACTAACTGGGCTACAAAACGGTTAGAGAAATGACTTAGGGCGGGTATTATAAAACTACTTTGAGTGTTAACTTAAAGTTAACTTCTGGAATTACATGTATTTCAAAAAGTTAACTTCAAGTTAACTGTCAAAGCAGTTTTATAAAACCCACCCTTAGGAGCAGTTTTATAATACCCACCCTTATATCGTTTTCTACCCCGAGACTTTATTCTTGACTTTACCTAGGTAGAAAAATTGACATTGCTAACAGTTAAGCTAATGCACTGTTCAATTGTCAACGCAGTCAAATTTTCTCTCGAGAGAAAGTCAAGAATAAGGGAGGATTTTCATGCATCCGTTTTTCCGTCTAAATATGTCCGTTTAACATTTTATTCTGACATATTTATATACGATTATGTCAGAATAGAATGTTAAACGGACATATTTCGACGGAAAAACGGATGCATGAAAATCCTCCCTAAGGCCTCCGGTTACAAAGTGACGTGATGGATACCTACCACTCAAATTTGAGCGGTTTGTTAAACCGGAGCCACGTGAAAAGGGTTAATGGTTGAAAATCACTTCTCACTTCACGGATATCATCAAAATTCAAAATTACCTACCTAACCTATAAATGTCATAAATGCGATTCGAAGATGTTGCTTGTTGTTGTTTTTGTGAATATCTGATTTTTGTCTCTATTGATACATGTTTCTGGTTTCACCAAGCAAAAAAAACATCCAAAGTTTCTCCGGTTCTTTGAATTCCCACATCAATACTGGAGAATAATGGCAGATATCCATAGCATATGCAGGACCTGCTTAATCGAGAATACAATCTTGAAATCCTTATTTGTTAAGGTGGAATTAGTAAATGAGGAACAGATGCAGTTAGCAGAGCTACTTTCAGATTGTACCTCTCTAGAAGTAAGTACCAAATTATTTCATTCTTTCCGGATACTTTTTGTTTCTAGCTTTTGTAAAGTAGGTATCCTGGAAGATTCAGTACACTTTTTCATTCCATTTTGATTATGTAGTTCTTCAAGTAGTAAAATCATTCCTGGTGCTTTTTTGCCTTTTATTCCTTTGAATGCTGGATGCTGGCCTTATATTTACATATAATTAGGTGGCAGTAGTGGCATTTATAATAATTATAATAATAATAATAATAAATAAATGTATTCAATACTCAGATCAGATACCTATACATTGATTTGGTACAAATTACTTCGAACTTCACAATGGACTATGGAGATTGGAGAATCTGTGTGTGCAGTTAATAATACTTATTGCCTAAACCTTAGTAAAAAATCGATGGTTTCCGAGTATATTGTCACCGAGGGGAATTCACTCTTGGCAATACATGTACAAAAAGGGTACATTAATAATGCATATTATTTGGGATTATCGTTCATTGTTTGACACTATCATTCATTGCTCAGAATTATTATGCATTGCTTAGCATTAATATTCGTTGCTTGGCATTATCATTCATTGCTTGGCATTAATATTCATTGTTTGGAATTATTATTCATTGTTTGGCATTGCTGTTCATTTTTTGTCATTACTATGGAATACTCACGCCATTACTTTACATTTTTTATGGATTAGCCCAAAACTGGCGATACATGTAGCATAGTTTAAGCTGATTTCTTTTCTCTTTCTCGTTCCAACGCTCTTAGAAGAAAAAAAAAGGATTGTTTGTGTAATGTGACTCTGAAGCCCACATAATTCTGATATTTCAAATTCCTACAAATTGAATAGTGTAAAGATGTCTAACCTCATGGGAAGTAATGTTGGCATAAAAATTTCTGGCCGATGCTTTGCTAGGGACATCTTGTGGCCACAACCTGGCAACCTGGCTGATACAATCTACAGACAATCCAGCACCTTTCTTACAGTGATTATAACAAGTCAGAGGGAGTTTGAATGTGAGAGTTTTGGAAGTGGTGGAGATGATCAGAGAAGGGTGAAGAAGAAGAAGAAGAGAGAGTTGAAATTATTACAAAAAAATACTATGCTGTTTATAGCAACTAATGGTATATCGGAAGAATTTTGAACCACAATGAGAAAAAGTCGAAAATAAAATTTTTACGATTTAATTTGAATGGCCAAATTCGGATGATATACAATTGGTCGAAAACCAATTTATATTTCACGGACCAATGACTATCGAAGGGAGTCATCCTTTTATCATCAGGCGTACTGAAACCTTAACAATAAATAAAAAATATAAAATGTTAAAAAATAAGTTTGAGAAAAAGAAAAAGAATCAGAAGTTAGTAGTCAATATTGAAACGTAATAAATATTGTCCTCTATATTTTCTTGACCATCCCTTAAACCTCTCCTAAAACAATATTATTCTTATCAGCATACCTTATACAGATAAACTGTATCACCAACCAATTCAAAACATAGAGAAGATACTTGGTGAGCTTCTCGCAGTAAGCATACCAATTACTCAGATTCAGCTCATAGCATGTCTTGATTGGGTTGCCAACTTTGTTTTTTAATTTTTCTGGACGAGGGTAAAAAAAATTCAGGACATACGGTATAAATTCTGGACATTTTTTTTATTGCAGAGAAAAATACCATTTTTAAACCTAAATAAACAATTCGACAAAGAAAAAAAAACACACTGATACACTAAAAAAAAAACTGTCCAACAAGAATTCTCTGTGTAAATAGGAACTAATAACTTATTTGCGGTTTTGCCTTGATGTGTTCAATGCACAATCGATTTACATGCGTCAGTCCACAAAGCTGAACGCATTAAAAAAATCCTTTCAGCGTCATCTTTGGACCCAAATATAGAAAATACAAGTTGCAAAATGATCCAGATATTTTTGGTATTAGTCAAAAATAATAATACGATAGGCGTCCTGCAATAAGTTGTTACAGGACACTGGACAATGAACCCCAAATGGTGGATGTCCACCAAAATGCAGGACGGTTGTCAACCCTAGTCTTGATGTCTCAAACCTGTGCGTGAGACTATCTGGTTAACAAGCATTATGTTTATCATTTTTAGGTCTAAGCTTTGTCAAATAAATATAGGAATTCGATTGGGTATATATATTTAAAAAATTATCATCAAATTTGATTATTGATAATTTTACATAATTCTATTCTAGATACATTTCATCAGTTTCTAATACCTTTTTTTTCATAAAAATCCACCCCTGTACATTGTCATTCATTGCTTGGCACCACTATTCATTGCTTGGCATTATTATTTATTTCTTGGCATTATTATATATTGCTTGGCATTAATATGCATTGCTGGCATTTTTGGAATTTTTTATAATTAATGCGCAATATATGTACAAAAAATGGGCAGTGAATTCCCCCTCGATTGTCACTTTAATAAAATTCGTTAAAATCGTCCTTTTGGATCAGATTTTCGAGTGTCACCATAAAATTTTCATTATTCTTAGATTCTGAATTCAATTTTGCAATGGTGAATAGACATTTCATTTGTCATAGACCAACATTGAAAGTCAAAGTTCAAAACATTTACTAAAAAATCTTTTTGAAGTGAATACTTCTGATACTTCACTTTAAAGTGATTTTTCAGTAAATGTTTTGAGCTTTGACTTAATGTTGGTCTCTGACAAATGAAATGTATATTCACCATTGCAGAACTGAGTTCAGAATCTAATAATAATGAAAATTTTGAGGTGACACTCGAAAATCTGATCAAAGTGGACGATTTTAACGAATTTTATCTACAAGCGTTTAGTTATGACGTTTTTACATAACCATTTTCCTAGTATTTGAGTTACGTCATGAAACTCATAACACAACTAGTGGTGTTATAGACTAGGTTATGAATTCATAACACAACTAGTGGTGTTATGGACGAGGTTATGAGTCTATAACACAACTATTTTTGGTGATTTGACAAATGTCAAAGGTAAACCTGTAAAGGTAAAATGAAGGTAGACAACTATTAATGAACGAAAATAATTGGAAAAATATTCTTATTTTTCGCTTTGTAGATAAAACGTTGTACATCACACGTGCGTTTAAACATGACTACAAAACTCGTGTGATTAGAACGACTCGGTCTACGACCTCGTCGTTCTAATCCTTCACACTCGTTATTGTAATCATGCTCATAAACGCACTTGTAATGTAAATAACTATTATTAAAGTGACAATATCTCGGAAACCATTGATTTTTTACTAAGGTCATATTATGCTTTTCTGCATGCTAATGACTTGTTCTATCAGCCCTTTCAGTATTATCGTTGACTTTCCGGACACCCTGTATATAATAACCGAGATAACACTATAGTTTTAAGGTTGATAACTTATCGAATAAATAAATTTAACAAATCTAACAAAGGTGCTCAGTGTGTAATTCAATTTTCAATTCAAAACAAGCTTTATTGTCAAAGAACAAAAAATTTTATTGACAAAGCATTTTTACATACTAATATTAAGATTAATATTAAAGAGAAAAGTTTTTTGGATTGATTTTCTCCGCTCTTCCATCCACAGACGCGTTTCGACTTATCAAGTCTCGTCAGTGTGGCTAGGAAAAAGCAAAGAAAACCAATCCAATTTTTCGCCTAACGGCAAATGCAAGAACTCCGATGAGCGAATCTTGATCTTGACGCCATCTAGGACCGAGAATCGACACTAACACACAATTTTGCTGTGCTTAGAGTGACCGTCCAAAGGCAGACCAAAACTCAGTTCGTTTGGGTTTAACCCAAAAGTACCACTGATGAGAAAAGTTTTTTGGATTGATTTTCTCCGCTCTTCCATCCACAGACGCGTTTCGACTTATCAAGTCTCGTCAGTGTGGCTAGGAAAAAGCAAATTAATATTAAAATCCAGTCAGTAAATAACATTAACATTGTGCACAAAAAATAAATAAATTAGTAAATGGTACAAAAAAAGATAAGCAACAAACAAATGACAGGCAAATTCAAGACTAGGGACTAGGACATCCAACAATTATTTTTGCTTACCCCCCATTCAACAGAAATAAATAGAAAAATGGAAAAAATAAAAGAAATTTAATTATGATCGTTAATAGTTATTTCGCTATTCACTAGGTATCCATTCTTTAATTTTATGTTTAACCAGACAGTACTCCTTTGTTCTAAAGCTATCAGGCGAAAAGTTGTACAGTTTAGGACCAATAAAGTAAAGTAGAGGTGTTTCTGTATGGCTGAAGTGGTTACAGAAGGTATAATAACATTCTGGCAAAATGCATTTCTAGTATTGAGTTGATGGGTCATCTCCTGCCCGTAATAATTTGTTTTTAGCATAAAACGAATTGCTGTCAGTATGTAGAGTTAGTTTAAAATCAGTAGCCTGGAATCACGGAATAACATTTCAGAAGGGTATCTTCGAGGGTATCTTCTATTTTTGAAATACCTTTTTACCTTATTTCAATTACATATTTTTGTGCTACATTCAATGCTTCCAAAACTCAAGTAACAGTATTCTCTCGAGTATTCTCAAATAAGAAATCTTCCACCGATGATATTTCAGTTTTAAGGATATCAGGGCAGAACCTTTGCATCAATTCCTCAGTATCTTTTCTTGGGGTGACCGCATCGACCAGCTTGTCTTAGCATGACCATGTACATTCGATCGCCAAAACCTTTCTATTGTTTTTGTTTCGTGCCAAAAACTTCTTTACTTCTGAACATCTTCTTCTTTATAAGGCCCAATTCAGACCATGCATGAAATAGTTGAATACTTTTTCCACATCTGCAGCGATGCTTCGAAGTATTCATTGGCTCTATTAGATGCAGTACAAAGAAGAGCAATAAAAATGTTAGATAATCCAACTTTCACCGATTCATTGCAATCTTTCAAACATAGACGCAAGGTGGTAAAATAGTCGTTATCCTATCACTGTTACCATGGGAGTTGTTCTGACGATCTGGCCAGACTCATTCCAGCTAGAAATTATGTAGGAACCACAAGAACCTCACAGGTGAGGAAGTATGCACAGTATGTAACTTGTTAGAGGCAGAAACACTTCAGCATTTATTTTTCATTTGCTCCATGTATAAAGCTTGTAGAGTAAAGTTTCTTGGTAATGATTGTTTGGGCATGGATGACTTAGTTCAAATACTTAATTAAGACAATTTGAATAGCGTATCAAAAATTGCTTATTATACACTAAATATGTTAAAGGTAAGATCCTTTTTGCGCAATGAATGACTAATTTCTTTCGTTTTGCCGAACACAATTGTCCTTCTTCGGCGTATTTTAAAAAAAAATAATGTAATTTTCCTAAGTTAGCTATAGAATAGAATAAGATAGAGATAATAATAATGTAACATTAAAAAAACCAAATTTCCTGCAATAAGTATACCTAAGATGCAATAAATGTAAAATAAATAAATAAATAATAAGAATCTCACAGGCATCCCATCTGTATGTGGTAGAGTTGTCCTCGAGGACCTCTAAATATATGGCTTCTTTTTGGTGGCGTACTGCCCATCTCTGGAACTCCCTGCCTCCTACTTCATTTTCTCAACTATCTAACCCTAACGTGTTCAAACGGAGGGTTAATCGTCACTTAATTTATTCCGTGTATGGCACCGCTTAGGTAATATAGACTGTGTTTTATGAGCGGACTAATATAAAAAAATAAATCCAAAGCAAGTCAAAATAGAAACTTTGTAGCAACTAGCAACACTGCTAAATAACTCTTATTATCTTTTAGATATCTGAAAATGATCATTTACCAAAACAAGTATGTAATGAATGTGAACAGCACATACTCAATACATTCAATTTCCGACAACAGTGTCTTAAATCAGAATCCGTCCTGAGATCTTTAACATCTGAAACACTAGTAGAATTGAAACCTTTATCAGTTGAAGATTCTTTAATATGCGAAACTAATTTAGATGAAGGTAGTGATTCCCAAGATCAGTCAGAAAATTTGGATGATTCATTAAATCAAATGATCGTGGAAGAAGTAATAGAGGAAAAAATGGAAACAAAACCCAGAGGAAATCAAGCTGATGAAGATGAAACATTATTGCCTCTATATCCTTGTGAAATTAGTGATTGTGCAGAATGTTTCACCACAATAAATGACCTAAAAGTAAGTTTTATTTAATAATTTTCGTGTTCATTACCCGTGCAATTATTTTTGTTGCAGGCTCATAAAAAATCTCACTTTCCAAAACCAAACTTTTGTAAAATTTGTGACCAAACCTTCTCTAGTTCTAGTACTTTGTCTAGGCACATGACTAGCAAACACCAGCCCAATAAAAAAGTGCATTTATGTGGCGATTGTGGTAAAACTTTCACTAGATCTGATGACTTGAAAAGGCACATTTTAGTGCATACCGGCGAGAGACCTTTTGGATGTCAAAAATGTGGCAAATCATTTGCGCAATCTTTTAGGTTGGTAACATTATTATTGTTAAATACACTAATTTATTAATGGATTCTTTCAGGTTATTAGAACATATGAGAGCACATTCAAATGTTAGAAATTTTGTTTGTGCCATTTGTGGTAAGGCATTTGCCCGATATACAAGTTTATTATCCCACGATAAAACTCACAATGAAGTCAAATCACATAAGTGTGAAAAATGTGGCAAAAGGTATGAGCCTTTGAAAATCTATTAATTTTCCAGCATCTTTTTATAGGTTGTGTGGTGCCAGTTCTTTAGCTATGCACATGAAAATGCACAATGGCCAGAGGGATTATGCTTGTAATTTTTGTGAAAAAACTTTCATTGCGCCTAGTAATTTGACCGTACATAAAAGAATTCATACTGGTAAGATTTATGCAGCAAATTAAAAAATGAAGACTGCTTTTTTTTCATAGGTGAAAGGCCTTATCAGTGTACAGTTTGTGGAGCAGCATTTCCTGACCAGTCAAGACTGAAAGTTCATTTTAGAATTCATAGGTTTGTGTTTGAAAAAATTACACACTTCTTGTCTATTAGGTAACATAAATACTTTTAGTGGTGAGAAACCTTATTCCTGCTCTTATTGTGAAAAAGCCTATATTAGTTCAAGTCAACTTAAAAGGCACTTGAGAGGACATACAGGCGAAAAGCCTTTTGAATGCGAAATCTGTTCAAAGCGTTTTAGTAGATGCGAGGACTTGAAAAATCACATTCAAATTCATAAAGATAATAGAAATCATGTATGCGGAATCTGCCAAAAAGGATTTTACCAGCAGAGAACTTTAAAAGTTCATATGAGGATTCATACAGGTAATTTTTTGTTTTTTCAATTTGTAGAATAATATCAACTACTATTTTATAGGTGAAACGCCTTATACATGCCACACATGTAATAAACACTTTACACAAAGTGGATCTTTGACGAAGCATATTACAAGTCATCATCAAGAAGAAACTGATTTGAGTGAAGTTGAAGAAGAGGTAGTCGAGGGAGAGGTGGTTGAGGAAAACCTAGGAATTTTAAAATATTTATAGAACAGGTGCAGAGGTATAATAAAAAATTGACATATAATTTGGGTTATGATTATTTCAACATTGGAAATGTTTCTGCTATCCTAGTAGGTATAGTCCGACAAATACCATTTTAAATTCACGTGATACTGGTGGCAAAAAACGTATGTCCATTGATTATGTTGTTGATATCACCTACAAAAAGCTACTGGTGGTTAATTACTATTGAATTTTAATATATGTTCCCACTAGCATTTTACAAACGCGTTTCTGAAGTAGTATTGACCAATCAGAGGGCAATTTTAATACTTGCAATTGTTGCGAGACTCACTTTTGTCGCATCTGCTGTCTGTTGTAATACATTCTGAACTTAAACTGGGTACCCGTTTTCTATTTGCTTCTTTTCGAGTTGGAAAAAGGTTAATATAGTCAAAATTATTAGCTGTGTTTGTTCGTTGTATTATTTTCGAAAATAACTTTGACAAACTAATTGATGACAGTGACGGATTCTATTTCAGGTAAGAATATTATGAACAATAATTAGACAGCAATTTTTTTGTCAATTTTACTATCACCGCTGTTTGAGATGTATTCAACAAGGATAGAGAAAAATCACATGACTTTGAAATGGTATTTGTTGGACTATATCTTTGGTGGTAGGTATGGGGGGCCCAAATCGCGAAAAGGTGCATACCACATTTGCCACCTTTTTCGGATACCTACATATATTATCCTAATACCGCGCGGTTAAAGATAAAATACTGTATACCTATCATACTGTCACAACCCCTATATGTTTCGTCCTCAACGTCACAACAGGAGCGTGACCTGGGGGCGTAGGTGGGGTTCAGGTAGAGAGAAACTCGCTTAGTATAGGTATAATAAGATAATGTATTGAATAATAATAATATTACCCTAGAAATAGTATCATGACGTCTCTTCTACGGAAGGACGTACTACTTATAGGCCACTACTTATGTACACTCTGTACACTTGACGTGACTGAAGCTGGGTTTGAGACAGGTCCAAGGTCCAGAAGAGCGTTTCCCAATAAAGGTAGTTTGCACTGGACCTAGTCTGCTGCGTTCAATACTCCCAGAAGGAGTTAGGTTTGAGACAGGTTCAGAAGGGCATTTCCCATTTGCACTGGACCTAGTCTGCTGCTTTCAATACTCCCAGAAGGGCGTTTCCCATTAAAGGTAGTTTGCACTGGGAGGAGACTTAGCTAGAGGGGCTTTTCCCATTTGAGGTACTTTGCACTAGCCTTTGTCTGCCGATATTGGATTTCGGCACGGTATTTATACCAAATAAATGCTGACTCATCGACACACTTTAGTAAAATTGATGTACAGAGTGGTATTTACTTAAGTAGTCGACAATACGTATGGTAATAAGGTATATACCGCTTTCGATTGCAAACCTTGCCTCGCAGGCTCGGTTTGCAAATTCCTCTCGCCTGAGGTAATAATCTAGTTACCACACCTATGCATGTTTGGAAACGTTTCCCAGGAACTTCTTGGATGGGCCAGGATCAATATACTTAACACGTTCACTGCCATCTACGAGATAACTGTAACTGTAACAAGTAATTGTATTTTGCATCGTGTCGATCAAAGTCAAGTACAAGTATATTCGTTGTAAATACAGGCTAATGGGGGTGCCTGGCCTACGGGACATGTATAAGAATTTCACACAGACATGGTTGAACAAAACAAAAAAAAAATCAAACATGGTATGGTATTGTATGGTATTTTTTACAAAAATATGGGTCAGGTACTACTTTGGATGAATATTTTATGTTATACCTATTCCCGTGATAAAACATAGTTTTTCAACATTGGCAGCGAACGTGTTAAGGAGGTAACCGTTACAGCAAATTCAAACATTGGAGGGTAGAATTGAAACACTGGAAAAAGAAAACTCTGTCAATACAGAGTCATTTAATATCTGAGATGAGCCAAATAGCAACCTGAGCTCAAAATTTAATGATTTATAACATCCCGGAATCTGTATCCCGCAATTTGAATAACTCAACAACTTGCTTCAACAATGAAGGTTGTTCGTGTTGGTCAAATAAAAAATGCCACCAAGGCTAGGCCTGTGAAACATATTTACAATGTTGAAACTGTAATATTACAGAAAATTGCATAAATCAATGTACAAAATATCTTGCGATCAAACACCGATGCAACAAGCAGCTTATAAGAAAGCAAAGGAAACTCTTGAAGCCAGAAAGTCTGCTGGTGAAGAGAACCTTATCATTGGGTACCGTAATGGTGTACCCACGGTTTATCTGAACACAGAAACACCCCATTAAGAGTATATTTCCAAAATTTAGGAGGTGGACGTACCAAGTTGCGTGAGCTTATGAAGACAGTGGAGTGTTGTTCTCATGATATACTTGTAATGGTTGAAAGCAATTGAAACGTGGACTTTTCTGAAAGTGAAATCAAATGCAAAGATTTCAGTATTTTTCGTTGCGACTGAAATTTCAGAACTATAGTCAAAAAGTTAGTGGGGGAGGTGTCCTGATAATGGTTCATACCAAAATCAAAGCTCAATACATAAACATAACAGAAGATAGGGTTGAACAGTTATATGTTTCGTGTCAAGTTGATGGTTCAAAATTTGTCATTGGAGGAGGTATATATACCCCTTCAGTCAGCTCGGAAAATTTATATAACACACTGCGAGTCAGTTAATGGTGTGATTCAACAATATCCAGCATTGAATATATATTTATAGTGCTTCCAAATGCTATCTGGTCTAACGACAAGTATGTGTTGTGTACAGGTATGGACCATTAGTACAGAGTCCAGCCCAACTAGCACAGATTAATTGAATTGATTGAGCCGATACTTGGTGAAAATTGAATTTCTCCATGGCTGGAAAAAGTAATAAAAAGTATTTTTACTTAATTTTCACTAATTTATTTACAACAGTAACATGTTTCGCTACACTGTAGCTTCATCAGACTACCTAAAACTATATGGTGGGTCACTTTTTACACAGTGCGCCCGTAAAGTAAGGAATAAATTCAATAACTATTCTTCTAACCAATTTTTTAAAAATCCTAGAACACGTCAATTTTATTTTTTGTCGAGCATTTTTTAGAAAATAAAATTATTATACAGGGTGGTCGCAGAAAAGCTGGACAGGTAGTATAGAACACCTCCACCACTGGACTTCAGGCTTGTCAAATCAGACCTATCACTTCGAAATACATTAAAATTTGTACATTGTAGTTCGCTATCCAAAAACTCACTATTCAGGTTACTCTCGACTAAAACTATTATATCATAATATGAGGAACAATTCACACAACGACGTAGCTATAGCTTTTTCATGGGGGGGGGGGGCAGTGGCGGCGGCTCATGGTCTGGGAAGGGTTTCAATTTTATATTAGACGATGTACCTGGCAATCCTGACATTAGTGGCATAGTTGCCGGCGGATATCGCCGAAGGCGGAAATTTTTTTCGGATTCCACGCCTAAACACATTTATTTTACTTAAAAAAAAAAAAAATATTCAGTTCAATGGGGGGGGTTTGAACCCCCAAAACCCCCCCTTATATACGTCCTTGAATTCACAGCCAACTTCAGGACGTCCAATTTGGTACGAAGACCGCTCACATTCTGGTAATAAACCGCCAATGGGGATGCACCTAGTTTTCCTGTGTCGCCTTCGCTTTTTTGGCAACAACAGATGGTACTCCATTTATGTACCTTATTACAAGGTTCTCCCCCTCCTGATTTCTGCTCTGTTCCCTGGATACGAGAATACGGGTTATGATTTCTGATTAGCGACGTAACAGCAATACATGCTCTCTGCAAGAGCAAGTTTTTTGTTGTATCCTTGAAATCTTTTTGCGCATTGTGTTTATCATCCACATCTTCACTTTCCCATATCACTATAGGAAGGTTGACAAGGTCCAAGTGTATTTGGACCAAGTTCCCATGGACGCTGCACGCGCCTCAGTTGAACAAAACTTGGATCGTACCAACTGTTTCTCCAAGTCACATTGGGAAGGTCCTAACATCTAAGTAAGTAGGCTGGCTGCCAACTTACTTGGTCCAAGTTATCATCAAAGTGCACTTGGACCAAGCTTTTGGACCGTGTCAACCTGGCTTAAAGGGGGTGTGCGCCAAATATTAAAGTTTTAGTGTAAAAAAATCTAAGAATAACTGTTCAAACCTCGTTATTCTACGATAAACCATCACTGAGATATACCGCTGTGTGACGTCACGAGAGCTTCGTCCAGCCACGCTCCGCATTGTTAATTTGATTGTTCCCGGCACGCGTCAGTGGTTTTTGTTTAGACTATTGCAAGCGACACAGAAAAAACATATGTAAATTCAATTTACTTCACTATCTCGTGCGTCGCTTGAGCTCTCGTGACGTCATAGGGTGAGATGCGGTACCTTCATAGAGCCATATCTTCGGTATTATTTGTCATAGAGGGGTGCGGTTTTCACTGTTATTCTTAGATTTTTGAAGCTGTTTTTTTGGCGCACACCTCCTTTAAGAGTCGAAATGTCGGTTGGTTCTAGCAAACGTTTCCTGAAGAGATAACTTGTAATATGAATAGTATATTTTCACCACTTTTATTAGTACCTAGTTACTTTCGCCTGTCCCATCCATCCCTGGTTTATTCACCTTCTGATAAACTGTCAGGCATGCAATCCGACGCATAAAACGCAATCTTTAATCCCATTGTTCGGCCAGTTATCTGCTGACCAATAGAATAAGAAAACGGTATATAAATTTATTTTGCAGATAGTTACCAGCAAGTTTATCCGAAAATGAATAAACTGGGCCCTAATCAAAGAAATAAATCAAAAGTTGAGTGTTATTAAAATTTTATTATGTATGTATAATGATAAATATTTACAAATACACAGAAACGTTATTTTGCCAAACTTCTAAATATGTTGTGCAAATTTGCAGAAAAAAAAGTTACAACTTTCTAAACTTATTTGTATGGTTAAAAGTGTTGCTAGTTTAAAACCCGGACGGCACTCATTTTCATTTTTTAGGCTTAAAATTTTTATCTACAGCGTGTTAAGAGATGTCAACCAGAGAACGAACCTGGATAATAAATAATTCCTCTTCAAGCAGTTTAAAAGTAGCAAAATAATTTTTCGACATTGCATTATTGTCAGAAAAATGTACTTTCTTTAATATATTTCCAAAAAGATTACCCTTTTGGTACAAAATCAGTGCCACAAATAAAAACCGGAATTTACTGCACATTTACTTTTGTTTTATCACAGTACGACTCGAATACAAAATGAATGGTTTCCAATCATTTTTATTCCCCAAAACCCTATCAGACGTTAACAATTCCAAAGTTAGTCATTTAAAAATATTCTAGTCTCGAAAGGCCACTTTCTTAGAACACCAAAGCTTAACAATAAAATATAATATGGATACACAAAATATTATTCTATAATTTGTTTTGATCTTTGATATCACTATTTACAGTTTGAGGTTACCCTATATAGCTTATTTTCAAGAGAAAGATTAAGCAAGATTCTAGTACTAGAGAAACGCTACAGGATGAGCACTAAAAAGTACATTTAAGTTGTTATATTAAATTAATTATAAATTAACTTTGGTAATAATGAAACATGGCCGAAATTTTTAGTGTCACCCTGTGTGCTACAAAGCTCTTAAATAAGTTGAACTTGAGAGCTTTGAAATGAACACAAATATTTAGAACAATTTCTCATTCATTTCAATAACCTCAATCTAATTAAAAATAAAATTTGCTAAATAACTAAAAATAAAAAATAATGAAAGTACATTAGTAAACAGTATATTCACACCTTTGTGATAGATAATAAATATTATACAACAAAAATAAATTACACACTAATGGCTTATTCGAATATCTGTACTATGTAGTCGGCTTATATTTTTAGAGAGCAGTGCAATAATTTATGATGCCATTGAAAAGTTCCTGCATTCGACTACCTGAATTGATAGAGGATAGACCAACAGAATCTGTTTGGGTTGCTTATATAGAACTACTGTCAATAGAACTTTTTGACGCAGTGCTAGTGCCTTGCATAGAAGTTATGCTTGGTCTATAAATAAGAAGGAAGAAGCTGCAAGCAGTAATAGTGGCATCTGCAGTATCATGTATTGCCCAGTGTTTTTCGCAAATTTCGTTTTCAAATACTCTGATCATCCACTATGATTTTTCATATTTTGGGGCAATTATGAATATGCGAACAGAGTTATACAGCCAGTTCTAATTGGGATTGCAATGGAACCATCAATTTCCAAGTTGAACAGGGTAAATGCAGGATAGTCGAATATGCCATAAAATTTTCATAATAACTGTTTAGCTAGTTTGCAATTTTCTTTAAATGGTACAATCCTAGCCAAATGTTCACATCCACATTTTTATTTCAAAGTTATATCTTTGTTTCTTCTAATTTAAAGCTCACATGTATAATAGAGGCAGAAATATTTTTGATCTCGTCATATTAGTCAAGAAGCGCAGTTAGTTATATGTCCAGTTTCTTCATTTTAATAAATTGTCCTAGTATGGGCTTCATAAAAAGGGGTTGTTGGAGTTTACAGTAGTAGCAGTTACACCACCAACCTAAAAAAGTAATTTAATTGATACATATTATTTAAAACCTTTAAATTTTCCACAAACCTTGAATGGGTTTCCACCCCAACCATTATTCAACCCATTACTAGGGAACATTGGTTGAAACCCATTGGAAAACCCATTCGTTTTTCCCAATTGATCCCTGAAAGGATTTACATAACTTGGTTGTGCCTGTAAACCATTAGTTAGGCCATTGTTGTAACTATTAGAACCATTGGAGTTGGCAAAACCATTGCTTAAGCCATTAGTGGACGCCCATTGTGTTGATTGGGAATTAGTTCCGAAAGGGTTGGCTATTTGAGGGGTGTTGTTCGTTTCTTGAAGGTTGTTGAATGCATTGGCGAACTGGCCTAGAAAAAAAGCGATTTTTGTGGATTTTTTGTGAAGGTTAAGGTTAAAGGAATATCTGTGAGGTCGCCTTGTAGCCAATGGCAAATATACAGTGTGTCCCACCGGGAAGCGATTTTACATAGTATACCATATAGAATAGACAAGCATAAAAGAGCATCGAGTCTATAAGCTCCGCCCTAAGCCCAGTCCAGCTGTGGTTCAGTTATTTCGAGTCATTTTTTCATGTCTTATGGCCGTTTGCACCAGCCATTTTAAGGGAGGTTTAACGATGATCAACGTTTAAAGTGACTTTTTTACATGTAAAAATGTCACTTAAGGCGAAGATTATCGTTAAATTTTCCTTAAAATGGTTGGTGCAAACGGCCATTAGTCAACGCCCAAACTTTGGAACCCTAAAGATTTAAATTCAGGGACAGCTATAACTTTCTTATAAGACCAAATGAATTTGAATTCTCTGTTGTACAAACTTACTGTGGTTTCCCATTTCGGCCAAGATCATATTGGCTGGTGATTGTGTTTTGAATATAGAATATAGTGATCAAGAGTCTAAAGACACTAAACGTTTAATACATTTATTGACGTGCTATAACCTTAAAGTTTATGAACCGACACATATTACAGATCACTATGAAACGATTATTGACTATGTATGTAGTAACAGTAACATTGAAGAAAGTGACCTTACATGTGATGTTGTTCCTTCTCGCATTTCAGCACTTTCGGTGGAAATTTTGGTGTACGACGATAAGCGCGGGAGTGTAGCAAAAGTAGGTAGAGTGTTAAGCACAAGTAATTTTAATACGTTCAGACAGTTGGCCCATAATATAGATTGGGAAAATATTCGGAGCAGCAGCAATCCTTTTTAAAACTTTCAGGAGTCTGTACAGAGTATTTTCAATTAAAATTTCCCTCTTAGAAAAATATAGACCAAGGCTAGAAATGTATGGATAGCACAGGGTTTAAAAGTCTCTGGAAGAAATCTTCGATCTCTGCATACTGTTAGGAAGTTTATACATTCAGAATGGTTCAATGGTTATTTTAATCTTTACCAAAAAATTTATAAAAAACTAATTAGGGTAGCAAGAAGGCAATATTACAGTGGGCGCGTTAACGATGCAAATAATGCTGTTAGGGAGTATTGGAGAATAATTAACGAATTCCGTGGAAAAACAAATAAATCGACAAACAAAATACAAATTGAACCAGAGGAACTTAGTAACTTTTACTGTTCCATAGCAGGTAACTCAACGAAAAACTTTAAAACAAATCATGATCTGGTTACCTTCTTGACGCCATTTTCAGTCAAAGAGTGTTTTCATTTGACACCAACAAATGTGGATGAACTGAAAAACATAATTAACGATATAAAAAAACAAAATTCCTCGGGCTTAGATGGTCTATCTATAAAAATCTTTAAGAATCTTCCTGAAACAACACTAATAGTCTTACTGAGTGTATAAATCAGTCTTTCACAAGGGGAATCTTTCCGGACTGTTTAAAACTTGCTGTGATTATTCCCGTTTTTAAAGGAAGCGACGAAACAGACCCCTCTATTTATCGCCCGATTTCTCTGCTAACAACTCTATCAAAGATGGTCGAGAAGATTGTTAAGATTAGGCTTTTGGAATATTTGAAGGGAAACAAAATTTTGCATTCAGAGCAGTTTGGTTTCCAGGAAAAGAAAGGATCGCACAATGCAATTTTTATGTTTCTTGAAAATCTTTTTCTGGGATTAAATGATGAAGAAAGGGCCGCGGCAGTGTTCTGTGATTCCTCTAAGGCGTTTGACTCCGTGGATCACGGGATACTGCTGAGGAAGTTTGATCACTGTGGTATTAGGGGGAAGGAATTGGACTGGTTTGGGTCGTACCTTGAGGGAAAAAGTCAGTTCGTTAGAGCACAAAACAAGGACTCTGAAAGAAAAAGAATAACTCATGGTGTACCTCAGGGATCTGTACTTGGGCCATATAAAAGTCCATATAAACGACTTGGCAGACCTGCCTATTGGAGGTCTTTTTGTGATTTTCTGCGACGATACGACCATTTTATGGAAAAACAAAAATGCCGCAGTTCTTGCGGAAATTATAGAAAGGGAATTACTGTTGGTTAAGGGGTGGTATGCTTGTAATCGTCTGGTGTTTAATGTGTCGAAAACAAATATTGTAACATTTAAGTGTAGCATAGAAAATTATTCACTACATGAAAATATTATCACAGAGAAAGAAACAGCTAAATTTCTTGGATTGCACATATATTGGAAGCTGCGATTCGACAAACAAATAGATTTATTGAATAAAAAACTTTCACAGGGGTGTTATACAGGGTGTCCCATAAGTCACGGTCCAAACTGAAAGGGGTAATAAAGAAGGTCATTGCCGACAAAAAAACTCTATATGTTACCATACAATTCTTCACGGTTTTCAAGATATTCGAATTTTAGTGATTTCACCAAACATGGTTACATTGGTTAAGAAAAGAAATTTGCAAGTAGAGTAGAAAAAAAAGTATTAGAGATTTTCAGGCCAATGTGGCCTTAATTGAATAAGGATAAATCAGAGTAGTTTTAACACATATGGGTCACCTTTTTTCATCTTTACTTTCTAAATTATTATCATTTGAACTTTTGCTGTGAATTTAATGAAACAAAAATAAGAGAGAAAAACTCCCATCAACTTCTTTAGTAAAAAGATAAAACTTCACATACTCATAAAAACTTAAAGACAAAAGTTTCTGCTCATAATTAGAAAAAAAAATCAATCATCGGTTCGTTGGTTTTAACCAATGTAACCATGTTTGTTAAAATCAATAAAATTCGAATATCTTGGAAACCGTGAAGAATTGTATAGTAACATATAAGGCTTTTTTTGTCGGCAATGACCTCCTCTATCACCCTTTTCAGTTTGAACCGTGACTTATGGGACACCCTGTATAGTTAAATCTATAGCAAATGAACTGGGTAAGCATACCGCAAAAACAACATATCATGCACCGATCGAATCGGATCTTCGCTATGGTTATAGCATTTTTGGGGGTTTCCACTCAAAGCTCTATTCAATCGGTGTTTGTACTACAAAAAAGAGCAGTTAGATATATTTGCCATGCAGGATACAGACAGAGCTGCAGGCCACTTTTTAAACGGGAAAGAGTTTTGACGCTTCCCTGCATATTCCTCTTGAAAACCCTGTCTAATAAATAAAAAATTAAAAAATAATGATATAGTGAGAGACACTGGTTACAACCCACGCAATGAAAATTTTCCATTACGCATTCCGAAATTTGCCTTAACGAAAAATTCTATTATCTATGAGAGCATTAAGATCTTCAACAGGTTGTCAGACGGAATAAAGAGTGTGGAGGACTATGGAGAATTTAGAAAAATTTTAAAGCGATTTCTGGAAACCAAAGCCTATTACACCCATCCATTTACAATTACACTCTGGAAGAAGGGTTTTCGCCGTATTTGTCGATTTTAAAAGAGCTTTCGATTCTCTTGAACATAATTTACTGTGGCGAAGACTTTATTCTCTTGGGCTGAGTTCAAAATTCATACGCATTATGAGAATGCTGCATCTTAATGCAACTTTTAAAGTTAAATCCGCCAATAACTTCACGAAAGAATACTCTGTTATTGCAGGCGTCTTGCAGGGGGAAATATTGAGTCCTATTCTTTTTGCCTTGTTTTTATCTGATATCGAAGAATACTTCAGAGCGAAGGGTGCCCAGGGAATCTCAATTAACCATCTTTGTGACGTCATCATTCTACTTTACGCAGACAACTTAGTTTTGTTGGCCCACTCGATGTATAATAATATGGCACGAAAATTAAAAATACTTGAAGAGTACGTGGCCGAAAACTTACTTACGATGAATACCACAACCAAAATCGTTTGTTTTGCTAAAAAGTCTACCCGCCTAATAGGACAATTCAACCTATGTAAATAGCCAATTGAAATAAATAGTAAAGCACTTTGAGTTTCTGGGCATTAAGTTATCTTCTTCGGCTTTGTTTTGAGAAATGGCAAATTTCTCCGCACAAAAGGCCAAGCGAGCTATCGGTGTTACAATCGAGATAATGTGTAATATTAAAGTAAACTCGTGGGACACTCGAAAAAAACTATTTGAACCTATGGAGATTGACTCATTCGCACACTGCACGCCGATTTGGGCCCTACGATATACGGAAATTCTCGAAAAGGTACAAACCACATACTTCAAAACGAAACTGGTACCCTCCCACTTAAATATATAGTTTTTAAATTGTGCCTATCGTGGATCGAAAAGCTTCTTGGAATGGAATCTACCAGATACCCCCTGTGTTTTGAAAGACTCCTAGGGCCGATACTTTTGCTCTCGATTAACGAATTTGATACGTTGTTAAAGTTTTGCATGGGCGAAGGTCTATAAGTATGCTGTGGTTAGAGCACATTCAAACCCCTGATTATTTTTAACGGCTGTCAAAAGAGCAAAAGTACCAGCACCTAATATACCAAAATAAACAGTCCAAATACAACTGGGTCGCTGATGTTAAATCAATATTTACTTCAACAAACAAAGGCGACATTTGGAATAACTTATCTTTAACCAAACTGAAAAAATCAAAAAAATTACTCCTAAATTCATATGCAGACTTCTTACGTCAAACTGATATCCAATCACTCCAGCTGTCCAACTACCCTCAATTCTACATATAGTCACTTCTTAACAGACTCCAACCCGAAGTCATATTTCAAGCTAAAATCGAATATTACTTTCTCCAGAATTTTATCCAACTTAAGATTATCTTCAAAATACACAGTTACCTTTTATTTCAACAAAATTGCCTACAAGATTGATCAGAAGCCGTTGTGTACAATCTGTAATCTGAACAAGTTTGAAACAATTGCTCACATCTTATTAGAATGTCCAATATACAAAAGTCTTAGAACACCGGCCATAACTGAACTATTTGTAACCATTGAAAGTCTTATTAATTTCTTAAATAACCCAATTGACCTTAAATCCACAAAACTTGTGTGTTATCTTTTAATGAACATTTTGAAATTAAGAGCTTTCATTATGAATGAATAAATTTGGGTAATTTCTTATTCTAACTTTTTCTCCTTTTTTTAACCAGAAAACCAGCGAAACGAACGCTATTAGTTTAAATAATAAGGCTTAAATAATAAGGTTCAAATGAAATGTCAATTTATAAACATTTGTACTCTAGATAGCAAGATAAGTTGTAAAACCTGTCTCCTTGTTATATGAAATATAAATGTAATTTCATTATAAACAATAAAGGAATAATAATAATTACAGTCTTGGGGAATTCTACTCAGACTGATCTTTTAATCTGATTTTTAAACTGTGGTATTTTCAATTTTTCAATTACTAAATTATTTACTTTTAATAGGCTTTAACTGATTCATGTAGTGTTTGACTTTGTTTATAGTGATGATTGTTTTTGAAAATTTTGCGACCATCTCGCGCTGACTCGTCGGTTCTGTGTTAGATTTGCTGAGGTATCTGGACTCTATCAAATCTAGCCCAAGATAATGGGTACATTCAGGCGGTGCCAGCGGCTAAACTCAGCTACTCAGCAGGGACTTTATTCTTGAAACCGAGGAGCAACGTTCTCACACAAGAACGATTGCTTTGTCATTGTCAGTGGTATGGAAATATGAATACGGACGACGAAGACAGAATCTTCGTTCTTATAAGAACGCTGCTACCCTGTTTTGAGAATAATGTCCCTGCTCTGAGTGGCTGAACTTAGCCGCTGGCACCGCCTGAATATACCCATTAGCCAATGTTTTATTTATGCATTGTAAACTGTTCAGGTGTTGTTGATTGTATATAGAATTTTCATTATTATTTCATTGCTTGTCTTTCTAGTTTTTTGTCTTGTTTAAAAAAGTATTCTCAACAATGACATCTTAATTTTAACTCGGTATATATTTTAGGATATAGGAAATTATTTTTAGACTTTTTTTGGCTTTGTCAACGAAATTGCATAATTTTTTGGTCAATAAAGCTTTTTTGATTTGATTTGAAATGTCTGTAATGCGGTATAGAATGTAATCAGCAGTGCGCAAAATGGGGTATAGTACGTAATCGCGTTATAGGCTCGCGCGCGGGATAACTAATTCAACCTATAACAAACCTGTATTTGGGCATTCAGACCATTTTTCAAATAACTGTTACGTCGGATAGTGGCTTCAGTTATTTTTTTAATTTTGATGTCAATTTGTGCATTGCATCCCTTTTTCCTGTTCCACAAATTATAACTGCTCCTTTTCTGTGCATTCTTGTTAAAATTGTTATGCATGCTGACGGACGGAAATTTTGCGAAAAGCAAATTTTTGTACATTCGGAAACGTTCTTCTATCTAGTTTTATATATGTATCGGCACCAAACTTTTCCATAAAACTTCTAACTTCTTCTGCAAAATCACTCCCATCATTTTGCATCTAATTAGAGCCTTATGTTCTGGACAACTTTCAAATTCCAGGATTTCTATTTCAACCTCAAGTTGTACTTTTTCTAATAAAATCTCAAACGTACTCTGCTCACCCATCTTGATTTGTTTTTACTCTGCAACACTCGCGAAGTAAATGAAAATGAACGACTGCATGCAAATCGTAGGTTCTAGAATTCCTAGATACTTCTGGCGTTGTCGTGCTGTCTCAGTCCGTTTCATCTCCTTCTGCCGAATGCCGCGTTTCAGAGACTTCGATTACAGACTATACCGCATTCAACGCACGTCGTAACTACATTCTATACCGCATTATAGACATTTTTAATACTGAACCAAAGCTGGACTAGGCTTGGGGGCGCAGCTCATAGAATCGCTCGTTGCTCTCTACACGGTATACTATTGTTCGTCGATTTTAATCTGACACTTTTCGTATGAGGAGCGAGGGGGTGAAGTATATGGCAAAAACAGGTGTGACGTCAGATGACCATTGGCGTTCTAATATAGGGTGCCACCAGCTCATATTCATTTCGAGTATTAGGGCCGAGTTCGTTTTTGTCATCTTTTTCGTCGATTTGCTCTGAAATTTTGACAGGCACGTGATTTGTAAATTGAAACTGTCTTATCCAATCGCGTGCCAGTCAAAATTTCGGAGCAAATCGACGAAAAAGATGACAAAAACGATCTCAGCCTAGATTAAAATCGACGGACTTTATGTAAAATCGCCACCGGGAACCAAATCGATCTACAGTCTATTTTTTCCCAGGATAGATTTTGATATTAAAAACATTGAAACATAAACAATAACGCTTAGCCCTGATTGGTCGCAAAATGCCGTGTCTTTGCAGGTTGGAATGAGTCACTGTAGTTGGAATCAGTTTTATAATGCATGTCGAGCAAATGACATCTTGCGACCAATAAGCGGCATTGCTTATGTTTCAAAGTTGACAGTGTCAAAATCTATCTTTTTTGAAAATTTGACAGTATACCTACTAATGTCAATGGGGGCAACCCGGCTAAAATATTTTCAAGATGGTGACTCTTCCGGTTATACCGGAAGTGGACGTCAACTTGCTTATTTTAAATGAGTCACCTTGTATATGATTTTATATTTGGATCTACATGAAATTCTGAGCAGATTTCATGTAGATCCCCTGAGTTCAACTGTTTTGGAAATATTGCCAGTTGAAAATTGACTTTTTGCAACTTTGACAGGCTGTAAAACCTAAACGGTTAATTTTAGAGAAAAACCGGTTTTACATTCCCATCTTAGATTTTCATAAACTATGTATCATTTGACACGAACTTTGAATTTAACTGGAACTTTTAATCATGAGTTTATAAAAATCTAGGATAGGAATGTAAAATTGGTTTTCTTTTTAAATTAACCGTTTAGGTTTTACAGCCTGTCAAAGGAGCAAAAAGTCAATTTTCAACTGTCAATATTTCCAAAACAGTTGAACTTAGGTAAAGACGTCATAACTTGAAAAAAAAAGGCTTGTCGTAGATTAATTCATATGACACATTCAATTTTTTTGACAAATTAAAATGACGTCATTGATTTGTTTTAGTCAATTTCTATTCGTTAAAAAAGAAAGGCAAAAAGTATGAACCCTCGTGAAATAAAGTTTACAGGGCATATCAGATGAAATCTGCTCAGAATTTTACGTAGAAATCGTAGAATCCAAATACGCAATTACATACAGGGTGTCTCATTTAAAATAAGCAAGTTGATGTCTACTTCCGGTATAGCCGGAAGTGCCACCATCTTGAAATTTTTTTGGCCGGGTGGCCCCCATTGACATAAGTATACTTACTGTCAAATTTTCAAAAACTTTCTGCATTCAGTTTTTCATATATTGATCGATTTGGTTCCCGGTTGGACAGCCTGTATACAGGGTGTATATTTTAAGTGTAAGAGCTACAAGGTCGGTTAAATTACAAAAAAGTTGTCTTTTTGATGCCCATTTAAGACTTGTTTACAGTGTTGTCAAATTCCTTTTAGTTTATGAAATACAGGTTCAGAACTAGGGCCGAATTAAGACAAAATTTTAGTAAAAATCACTGATGATCACTTTTTAGATCAAAAACTTCGGCCAATTATAGTTAAGAGGTATATGGTTAAAACGGGGATAAAACCCGCTTTCCAAAAATTACATAAAAAATCCAGGTCCGTATTTAAAAAAATGAAGTTAATGAAGTTGATGATGGTAGCTCGATTAAGGAACGTCTGATTTAAAATCTAAAGATGCCATGTTGTAGAGCGAAAAAAATTATAAACTTCAAATTCAACTTGTGTCTCAAAAATCAATAGTTTCCGAAATAATTGATGAAACATTTTAGACGTTTCTTAGAAATCACCCTCTATTTCATAAACTAAAAGGAAATTGCCAACACCGTAAACGAGTCTTGAATGGGCATTGAAAAGGGCAACTTTTTTCTAATTTAAATCACTTTGCAGCTCTTACCGTTTCGGATATAGCAATATCGGTATCACTTAAAATATACACCCTGTATAATGACTGATGCTTTGAAACTTGGGTATGGCATGACAAATAATATGGTTATAACATAACCAATGAAAATTAAATTTCCAGCAGTACCATAATGATACGTTTTATGTAGCTATAACAAACACCTCATATAGTGAACAACCACAAGAACAACCTATTTGCAAAACCCATGAATATAGTGAACCACTGTGACAAGTAACAAAACTCAATGAAATTCAAATCAAAGTTCGAAGTCAATCTGGTACCCCCTATATTACTTTCAGCAAAAATGACAACTTTCCATAGCCCGCAATCAGTAGTTAATTACAATAATGCAAATATTGAACATAATAATCAGGCCATTAGTAATGTAAATAAGAGTAATTATAGGATATAAGCAAAAGATAATCCTAGATTAAAATAACACAACGCTTACCTAATTAATAAAAAAAAAACGTACCTTGACTGGGCGATCCGAATATTGATCCTTGAGGCGACGGTGATCCGTACACCGATCCAGTATTTGGAGTAGACGAACTATACAAAGACCCTGTTGAACCACTGTTTGAAGTTGACCAGACATCCTGAAAAATTAAGTTTTCTAAGAAAATAATCCTATTGAATTAAATTAAAATTATTATGGGTTATAATTACTGCTTTTCATAGTTAATATTTTTAACATTCTTTTCGTTAATGCACTGGTTATTTTCAAGTAATTTCTAATGAGATATGTATTATTATTTTAAAACAGACTAATGACTACATATTTTTCAAATACTGATAAATATGACCTCCTGTTGCTGGAGCTGATGAATAAATTAAATCCCAAAAATTGCTATATGTATTTAGAGGCATACAATGGGCAATTTAAGTCAAACAAGAACTAACCAGATTTTATCTGAAACACCAAATTGAGTTAAATTACTTTTGACTTTCAAAAAAGACTTTAAAATGTTGCTATTCATAAAAGCCAAAACTCAACATCGAATGGTACCACTTACTGGGTGTTGTTGCTGTTTCATTTCGTTATCCAAATCCTTAAGTGCAGCATATTTGTCCTGAACAGCAGGAGGAAGGGTGGAATTAACTGAAGGCGCTGTACTTTGGCCGTTTTGAGGATTAAGTGGAGCTTGTTGTGACACCCATGCATTCATTGAAGTTGGCATACCTGCAATAAAAATAAATTGTGAACTTTTGACCTTGACAAATTCTTTTTTGGGGTGTTATGCATCAAAGTGTTTAAATCGAATTTCGCACGAGGCGGTGATTTGCATGTTATTAGCTAAGGCCTTGACCTCAACTTGAAAGGTTTCATTTGAAACTTTGCAAGTAGGGTAAACTAAACCTTAATATTTTCCATTAATTATTATAGAAATATTCTGGAGATCCGCTTCAACACATCCACCTGCCAGAATAAAAATAGAAACTGATTCATTATGTGCCTCAAAATAGCTCTTTTGACTTTGAAGTCGTAATTTTACTTTTGTTTACATAATTTTATGGTACATTATTATTGGGTATAAATTTAAATGGGACTCTAGGCCTTTGTAAACTTGTAATAAAGAAGCAGAAAATGGTAATTGCGCCAACAACAACAAATCTTTATATTAAACAAAAACACTACATACCATAATTAATAATTTATATAGCTTCTACAACAAAAACAAAAAATAGCATTTAGCAATGAATGATTAAAAATGCACTACCAGAGGGATATAGCGTGCCAAGGCCTATAGAAAAAACTATACATAGCAACTTACTCCATCGATTCGATGGGTTTGGGTTGCACTTGGGAAACAAGGGCACTCGGTTCAACGTCGGCCCTATGCCACTGTAGAATTGCAGGTCGAATATACTAAACTTCGTCAACGATTCGTCTGCAAGAACTTTGTGATTAATACAAATTTATCCTCAAAACACTAAATTTCCAGACAAAAATATATTTCAGTTTTAAGAAATCGATTGTAAAAACATATTCCTCTCAATCACGCAACTAAAAGAAAATAGGCTGTAAACAGGTTAGCAATCTTCATATTTATTTGGATAATCATCTATGAAAATTGCCTTTACTAAACGTTACAGCATATATTTGTATTGAATGAAAATGTCTTATAAACCCAAATATTAAAAAAAAAAAACAGCATAAAATTAGCACCCAAAAGTGTGTATTTAGCGTAAATTTCCTACACCCAATAATGTACACAAAGACAAACCTTGAAGGAATCGAACTCGAAAAAGTCACCAGAAGGTTTTCCTAAAGAATGTCTTAAAAAGGTTTAAAGGTGTCTCACAAGTGTTCCGAATGAATCTTGAGGTTGTTTAGAGTTTTAAAAAATATAAAAGGAGTTTTTAGGAGTGTCTAATAAAACATGAGCGTGGAAGTTGTCTCAAATAGTCATTCAAACCTTCATGAAGGAAATTGTGTACAAAAAAAGTCTAGAATGTGTAGACGCTTTGAACATAAATAATTATTATCGAATCAGTCTTAAAACTTGCTGGAACAAGAGACAGTACACTATGTTGGAAATATGTATAAACCAGCACATCACAATTATTGGTTTTATTGGAAAATTGATGCTAACTGCACAATGGGTCCTATTTCAATGAACACTGAAAACGCTACAAAATTGTCACAATATGTATTTCTAATTTTTGATTCAACTATGGGTAAAATATGTATGTATTCAAAAAACCTGGCCAGCTCATTAATTTCACAATCAATTTGAAATTTATAATTATTATTATTGTGTCCAAAGATGTACACTGCACACCCGCCAAATTGAAATTAATTATGCGGAATAGTATTAAGTGACGTATAACTGCTGCGCATATGTTATGTTATATGTTAGTCCAAAAATAGATGATTTTTTTTCAATCATTAAGTTATCAAATTATATTACACAATTTAACCAATGGATGTAATGTGTTAGAATAAAGTGCGAGTTTTGTATAAAATTTAAATTACAAAACCGTGTTCCTTACCATTTGTTGCGTTATTATTTGCGTTGTAGACTTGATTGTGTTCAAAGTCGGCGAATCCGTTTTGTGACGATCCAGTGCTTGAAGTTGAAGTATTACTAAAAGAAAATATACTTATAATTATAAAAAATAATACAAGTGTCCTGAAATTGAAGATTGTAGGTTTTTTTTTTGGAAATTTTAACACACATTAAGTAAGATTTCGACTAATTCTGAATCGGCTTTCTAATAGGAGATACACACTAGAAGGTTTAATATTCAACTAACCATCAATATATTCTCACCTAAAAATATCTGCCCTATCAAAATCTACAGCAAAACCATTACTAGTTACTAAATGATTGTTGTTAACACCATTTTGTTGTTGAGAGTGACCCTTCACTTCGGGTCTGCTTCTAGTGGCACCTTTTCTCACTAATCCACCATTGGGGGTGGCTTTTACAAATCCATTTTTGACCACGGCAGTTCCATTAGACAGTTTGCCGTTGTTGGTACCGTTTATCCACGGCCTCGTGTTGGGAACTTCTGGGTTTGTCATGGTTTGTTCTAGATAATATCTGGAAAAAATGTGAATATGTGTGTTAGAAAAGCTCCAACTCGCGTGATTAAAATGAATAAAAGATAGTGAGCATTAAAATAGAGAAAGTATAATCAATAAAAAGCCAGTAAACTTTTATCTGAACGAGAGATCTTAATAGCGGACAATTCCTGGGGCATTTAACAACAATTTCATTAGATCTTTGAATATCATTTAATTTTTTTTTCTTAATTGACTGGGAATCAAACATTTTAAATTCTTAAAAAAAATCTATCGATCATTAGATCTCAAAATATCAGATAAGTACCTACACATCATGCATCCATGCAAAAATAAATTAAAATTTATTGCTCAATTCGTAAAATTAAATTAAAGGAGTGATTTCAAGTTTACTAACAATATAAAAACGGTAATTGCAAGCGTCTTATTAATTTTTTTATTTTAATAAAAATTTAAAAAAAAAAAAATATTTGCCGAAACCAGGGATCGAACCAGGGACCTTTAGATCTTCAGTCTAACGCTCTCCCAACTGAGCTATTTCGGCTTATAAAGATTGACTAGGCGGAGGCCTACTATGACTATAGTAAGAGGCATCTCGCCGCTTTGCAATTTTTTTGTCCTGCTAGCGCAAAACCTGAAGTGTTCCCAAAGATAAGGGCTTTTAATCAGAAATTATGGTTTTGTTGTGACTCATATTGTTGTCATCAGTAATAAACATAATACATATGTGAAATGTGAGTGTATTACCCGCAACTTTAAATAAATTCAAGGATACACTAGGTATGAGATATTTTTTTATTTTATTGTACAAATACCTAGGAATTGTTTTACTATTATTATTAATATTATTATTATTACTAATGATAATTATGGCCTGGAAGAAAGTCTTCTTTGGTACAGTGTTGATAGTTGATACCTCCCAACATCTGTTCATGAGGCAAAATCCTGCACCTCCTCAAGAATTTTGGTTACTCTGAGTTGAACTGTCTCTGAACTAGAGCATCGATAACCTTGACGTAATCTAGGCTATGGGCTCCACACAGAGAGGGGTATACAAGTCTTGGTCCAATAGAGAACGAATGTAGCTTGAGGATCATTTTGGGAGAAAAATTTCAAATGGCTCTATTACAAGGAATTTTAAGATGTTGGCTTTTTTAGTAGTACCTCTACAATTTAAGTGTATAGTGCATTCCCACTTTAACTTTTCTGAAATATTAATCGCTGTCCTGTCCCTGACCTGAGTAATGATGCTTTAGATAATTTGCCAAAGGTTAGGTATAGTGCATTGTCATATGCTAAAGACCTGGATTTTAAAAGCTTCAAAAACATGCGGCGAGTTCACAAAGTGGGTGGAGGAAATGCAGTAGCAGTTTTCTCTCATCTGCAAACGAGTACACTTTGATCTTTAGGTTTTGAGGCTGATCACTTATGTATACCAAAAGTAGCACCGGCTACGACACCAAGGAAGTCCTATCCTTCACTACAGAAAATTTACCATAAATGATGGGAGTTGACCTTGTATTCCATAATCCATAGTAGTGCAAATGGTACAGGGTCTGTTCCTTATGATTAGTGCGGCTTCTACAGCTTATCTTATCTCATGATTAAAAATTACAATTTAATTTAATCTCCGGTTAAATTCAAAGTTGCTGTCAATTGATAGTTTATGAAAATCTAAGACAGGAATGTGAAATCGGTTTTCCTCTAAAATTAACCGTTTAGGTTTTACAGCCTGTCAAAATTGCAAAAAGTCAATTTTCAACTGTCAATATTTCCAAAACAGTTGAACTTAGGTATAGGGTATATCACATGCAATCTGCTCAGAATTTTACGTAGAATCCAAATATGCAATCACGTACAGGGTGTCTCATTTAAAATAAGCGTCTACTTCTCGCATCACCGGAAAAGCCGCACCATCTTGGAAAGATTTTAGCCGGGTTGTTCCATTGACATTAGTATACTGTCAAATTTTCAAAAAATTTCTGCATTCAGTTTTTCATATACAGGGTGTCCGTAAAATAGCGTAAAAGCTCTTCACTACGTGGTGGAGGACCCTTCAAGGAACCCCAGAAAAATAATTTAAAAAATCTGGTGACATTCTTGAGAAAGTTGTAAGCATTTCAATTTTTGTTAAAATTGGCAACACTGAACATATCCCGTTGACAATTTGTCACAGAATTAAATTAAATACCTATTTTGGAGGTGCAGGTGACTGAAAAATGTTGTCAGATCAATTTTTCCTGTTGTGATTTTGTGATTTTGCAATTTTCATAATGCGTTTTGAGGGTTAACAACAAATTTTTATGAACTATTATGTAATGAATCAACAAAAGATACCTAACACTTTGTACGAAATATTGCAATTTGAAAAAAAAAAAAATCAAAAATAGAGAAGTTGAATTTCCACATTTATAGTCGTATTCACGATAGAGTTTAAATTTTGACCGTTATTTTCACCAGTTGAAAGTAAATAAAATCCCTAGATCTGCCCCTTTTTCTGTCAACCATCAAATAATGATACATGACATTTCGATTTGACATATAAAATTATCAGATTCGGATCTTAGAATTTTGAATTTCGAATTTTTGCGCGAGATCGTTTTAGTTTATTGCCGTTTTCTGCATTATTTTTTGATATTTTGTTATATTCTCAATCGGTTTTATGGTTTTTTATGTAGTATTCTGTGCCTTTGTGTTTCGGTGTTGCGTTTCATTTCTAGCCTGGTTTTAGTTCGGATTTAAGTGTTTTGTCTTTTTATAAGTGTTCACTTTGGACTCTATCAAGACTTATCTGGTTTATTTTATCTTCTTCAGGTAAGTTAAACATAATACTTACACAATATTACGATTTTAAAAGTGCCGTTTTCTTATTAGCGATGACAGAAAAGTCCCCGGACAAGTCCGATCGTACCAGGGTCCTGGAGACTTTGCTCTGTTCCAGCATCTCAGATGATTTAGGTGTGAAGAAAATACGGTAAAATTGGCAACTTTAAATTACCACTGTCATAATTCATCGCCAATAATTTTCAGGGAACAGCAATAAACCTTGGAGATGCTTCTTCTTTACGAGACGAATCTTTTTTTTTTTCTAAGCAAGAGGGAAAGTGACAAGGTAGTGTTTTCAAATTTAGTAAAAATAAGCAAATAATCCTTTTGTAGAGACCAATAATTCATGGGAACCCTGTGGCTCAGCAATTTATACAACTCGTATGCAACCATTTCAAGGTGTCTCATGAAGATCAAAATCCCATAACTGTAAGTTAATAACAATAAAGTTAGTCTTGATTGATCATAGAAACGTTTTCGTCTTAATCTCAGTAAATGTAGGTACAAGTTTTGGAAGGGGATATTTTCGAACCGAGTGGCTTTTGTTAATTTTTAATAAATAAATTGTAATTTACTGTTCCATTGCCTTTCTAGGAGACAGCTAAGGTTTTGAAACTAAGTGAGACCACTGTCTATAAATATAAGGATGGTTCAGTTGAGTCTGAAATTACCCCTGTCACGCGGAAGCGTAAGAAGTTGCAGACAACTGATTCAAGTGGAAGCGTCAAACAGACTATTCGATTAGAGATATACAAAATGTATACAGAGAGTAAGTTGATGTTCTACTTTGAACATAGAGTTGTTTCAATGTTACTTCATATTAACATTACCAGTAGATTATTCCGAAAGAATACACCTGATAACATTGGAACTTCTCAGATCAAATTAAACTGTTTTTCATAGTTTAATACTATTTTTTATTTCAGGTCAACACAAATTAAGATGCTGCTAGGATTTCTTTCATTCCATAATTTCATGATATTTTTTAGAATTGTTTTCTTGCTTTTCAATAAAGGTACCTGAGTTATTGGAGTCTTTCATAAGGATAAGTATTCATATTCCCCTCTTTGACGTACCTACACAGTTTGGGTTCAGATATTTGCAGACCTTCTGTAACTTCTGCTGCATGCTTTATCCTGTGTGTTGGGTTTATTGTTTTTCAGATGTTTAGCATTTTGTGTTGTAATATTTTCTAGTGGACTTTGGTACCTCTAAACATGGTATCACTAATTAAACTTCCTATTTAATGTATCATCTAATATTATGCTTGTATAAATTATTTAGAGGGGCAATGTCCCATCTGTCGCCCACTTCTTACTGTTATTCTTCCTTTTTTATATTATTTAGCAGTTTTTGGTAAAAAACCCATTACTACACAGGTAATAATTGATTAATTAATAGTTGAATTTAATTATGCACGTCCACTTGTGTCAGTTGTCTCTTGTGTGTGATGTTTGTACCTGCGACGAAGCAGCACTGGTGATGACTTAAGGCCGGAAGCACTCGGCGGATTTTCTTAATAAATTATTACACAGAATGCATACTCCTCTCTTCTTCAACTATAAGTTTAAGCCATTTCACTAACATAAACTAGACTGGGTAATTTTAGTTCATTTTTGGGTAGTAGTCTTTTTGTTATAGGGACTGGTGTTAAATAGTAATACTAAGTTACTTTGTTCAATTACCTTTAAGAGTTACGTTATAATGGTGTCACCAGCAAATTCCATAAGAATACACTCGGTGTCATTATTGACGAAAGCCTCAAAGCTAATTGAACAAGATATACTAACTAAAATCAGTAATATTTGCTGTTGCTACAGTACTACAATATTTAAACAAGCATTTTTCGTTTTTAGAATTGCATATGTTACCCTTAAGACTGTAAGTGATAGGCTGAAAGAAAGTGAAAATTATTACGGTTCCCAGTCAAGTTTAGGCAGGGTTTTGCTCACGTTAGGATTTACCTTTAGAAAGGATGATCCAAGAAGAGCCCTCATGGAAAAGCCTGATGTAAGCCACATGAGAAGAGTTTTTGAGTAGAAATTTTAGTACTGTATAATTTTATTACTGGAAAATTTGAGTAGAAATTTTAGTACTGTATAATTTTATTAATGGAAAATTTGAGTAGAAATTTAAGTACTGTATATTATTATTGGAAAAATTTGGGTTCATTTATTTAAAATTAAATATGTA